AGGAACACCCCGTCTTCCAAAAACCACTCAAAGAGAGTCTGAGATATGCCAGCGTGCAGATTTCGACTGCCAATGCAAACGGCGAGCTGTACGTTTGGGGCTACATCCCTGTCGTTGTGGCGAAATGGTGAGTGGAGCTGCCTAGTACCGCCTTGACCAGTTGTGTACCCTGACTCCTATAGTGGCCTCTATCTCAAGGAAAATGGTCAGTTTTGGTGTGTATGGCGTAAAATTTGATCTTGACACTCTGTGTCAATCAGCTACAGAGGTAGAGGGGACGTTTCGTGTCAATGGTTCTACCAAGCGCATGCGAGATCTACAAGCCGCTTTTGAGACACCGCCACGGGTGCGTACAGATTGCTCCTATGTAGCACTATGTGGTCTAATTGATATGCTATTTTCGTTATCAGTACGGGAAATCGCTGGACTGGAAAAATGAACACTTTACAACACATGATGTCGCAAGCGTCTTTCGTAGATATTTAACTCAGATGCCTGTCAGTGGCGCTCCACGCTCCGTGCTGCGCGTACTTATGCCCTACCCAGGAACCTGTAATACCACATGATATGTATCACGATGTGAGTGTATGCTAATTCCTTTGTTGATTGGCGCTGACGACTTCTCGACTAGTTCCGGGATGTTTTGGGTAAGGGGTTCTGAAAGCTTTAGGTACAGGCTGAACTCGAGCCTGTGCAGGAAAGAAACCATTCAATCATGATGAAGTGATTGCAACATACAAGCGTCTAATTCAACGTATGCCCCGCGCAAATCAATACCTTCTTCTCTACGTATTGGATTTATTATCAGTATTTGCACGAAAATCAGATAAGAATCTTATGACTGCCACAAGTACGCCAAACTCCTCTGCGATTATCTTTATTCTCATTCTTCTCCCGCGCAGATCTCGCGGTGATTTTTCGGCCCGGCCTGATATCCCATCCTAACCATGAAATGTCCCCTGGAGAGCACGCGCTCAGCCAACGTGTTCTCGAATTCCTCATTGCGCAACAGGATTGGTTCTTACTCGACATACCACCACCGCCACGATCGGAGCCGAGCTCCTCGTGGAAGCCCCCACCAAGGCCCCACCATGCGCACACACAGGTACCAAGCGAGGAAGACTCGGATCTTGTTGTTGTGCCTAGTTCAGATGACGAACACACGCCAATTGCTGGAGGCTGGAAGCTTGTCGGCCGTGAGAGACGGCGCATTTCCCGGCGCCGCACAACGCTAGAACACACTGGTGGGTCATTCCTGGGGGCCGCGCATGAATTGGACCGTCGCTGAAGTCCGACGGCACCCCTTTGTGTTTGTGCCACATCTTTTCCCTCAGATTCTCTCGACAGAACAGAAGATGTTGATAGTGGACAATTGTCGCCTGTTTTGGAGACACCAACATCACGCCCTGTAAGCCAAGGTTCAGGTCCAGCCGCAGTAGGAGTGAGTCGAAGTCGGACGCTGCCCTCTAATCGAAGCAGCACAGACGACGAGAAGCATCGCGCTAGGGTGCTCAGGAAACAGAAGCGAGCATCAGCTCAGCCGCGTCACCCAACTGCATCTGGGGGTCATGCGGGTGGGTGAAGTGGAGTCATCTGGAAGTTTGTGATATTGATCATATACCTCGCGACGGGCATGGCGTTTCTGTGCCGAGTTCCAGATCGCCCATCTGGACAATTGCATTTCAGTTTTCTATGTACACATTTGGGCTGTTGTAGTACTTACTTCGGGAGATAACAAAAAGAACACTTGTTTTCGTACCCGCGGTGGACCAGGCTCGGTCAGGGCAAATATGTAAACGGTGTCAATTCCGCAGCACATCTAATTTTGTCTATTTGACACCTGTCGCCATCGAGCCTGCCAGGTCAAACAAGAAACGGCAGTTTTTGTTGGCCTCTGACGGAGCACGGCCCTCACGAGGCACATGAAATTATAGAAGGCAGGGAGAGGATTGACCAACTCCAACAACGTTCCTTTCTTCTATATACTTAACTTCCAACAAAGGGGGTACTCAGGCTCGAGCACGATGACGATGACAATGACGAGGCAACAGGTGCTCACCCAGACGAGCACCAGTCAAACCCAACAAGGCCGCTCATCGCGGCCAGGCGTAGTAAGAACCCCCGTTACCATTCGCATGATGTTGTTGGATATATATATGATTTGTATGTGATTGTGGAGTGTCCAGTCTGAAATTCAAGTTCGCTTGGAATCCAGCTGGTTCAATTTTTCCGCCTCTCCACAATTTCTCATAGTCTCTTCCTTACACCTACGTATACAACTAAATTTCTGCTGCGCAGGCCACCAACGTTCATTCGCTTTTCGACTCGTCGCACAGTTCCTCAACGAAGCCGACGCCCAGGAATCCAACACAGGTCGCCAACGTTCATACGCTTTTCGACTCGTCGCACAATTCCCCAACGGAGCCGACGCTCAGGAATCCAACACGTCATCCACTTGCAGGCCAGCCCACCTCAGCCGTGCCCTACATGCCCGTCCCACAAACCAACTACCAGAACATCGAAGCCCGAAACAGCGACTGGCTGGAGCAGTCGCAGAAGGCGAGCAAACGCTCAAGATGGATCGTGAGTTTCACTCTCAACTTATGTAACACTTGACCACTTAACGTCCTGCTGGAAAGGTCATTGGCTCGATAATCACCCTTGTCGCATTGATTGCTGCTGGTGTCGCAGTTGGCGTCACACTCTCGAAAAAGAGCTCAAACAACAGCTCGAGTTCGAGTTCGAGCAACGCCGTCCCAGCTGGGACGAACCCCAACGATCCTAGCAACTTCCCCAAGACTGCTGCTCTGGTCAACTCGTTCTACGGCATCGCGTATACTCCACTGGGCTCACAGCTTCCCGACTGTGGCAATACCTTAAGTGTGTACAATCACCTCATCTTAGTTGGAATGTGTCTTAAGTGCCGCAGCGGAGGTCATTGAGGATATCCAGGTAGGTCTTTCGAGGGATATTTCTGAGCGCTTGCTCGCTTACACGATCTATAGCTGCTATCTCAGCTCACGTCGGTGGGTGTTTCGATGGTGTCTTATGTGCCATGCGCTTATTCTCTGATGGCTAGACTATTCGTCTTTATGGCGCCGACTGCAATCAGTCCTCCCTTGTCGTAAGTAACCTTGTGGACTATCTTTGACGTATCCATCTACACTTGTTTGCAGCTTGCCGCCATTCAGGCTACCAAGGTCAACATGTCTGTCTACCTCGGCAACTACCCTGCTGTCGACGATAACGGGGCTGCATATACACGCCAAAAAGGCGAAATTCAAACTGCCCTTCAACAGTACGGTGGAGCCAACGTGCTCGGTATTACAGTCGGCAATGAATTCATCCTCGAGTTAGCACTTGTTTCTGAAATTCAACCCGTTGGCTAAACCGACACTTAGTTACATCACACAGCAAGGGCAGTCGGATCCCAACGGAGTAGCAGGACAGGCAGGCGAGTTCATAGTTTTCTTCCCTGATAAAACAAATTTCTAAATTATTTGCCACAGCCGCGGCGATGCTGGTACCCTGGATCAGCGATACCCGTTCAATGCTCTCTTCAATGGGTTTGAGTAACATCTTAGTTGGTAATGCAGATGCTGGAAGTTATTTCAATAACGAAGTTCTATCAGCCGTTGATTATGGGGTCTGTATCCCTCTATGTATTGTTTGGCGCCTGCTTATATTGTGCAGATGGCGAACGTCCACCCATGGTTCGCCAATCAATCGATTGATAACGCTGCCGCCTGGACGGCCAACTTCTTCAACACCACGGACTATGCTCTTGCTCAGTCTCTTCCAAACAAACCGAAGATGTTCATTGCTGAGACTGGCTGGCCAACTGTCTGTTGTCTTTTTCTTTCATTCCTGACTCATTTAATCTGTACTACAGGGCACTTCTTCTTTTAATGCCAACCCAAATGATGGACCTTCGCTCGCTTCAACGGACAACTTGCAGGTGCGATTCATTTTTCTTTTTCCACGCCATGACACTGATTGTTAATCTCATGCAGATATTTATAAATGATTTCGCATGTCAAGGTATGCGCTTCTTCTCACGTGAGCAAGAATAATCAAAGCTCAATGTTGTGTCACTAGCCACCAAGAATGGAACCGGATACTTCTTCTTCGAGGTGTGTATTCGTCTTCCAACGTTGACATAAATTGTGCTCACCACAATGTACGACAACAGTTCAGTGACGAGCCCTGGAAGGTAAGCTTGCACTCGTAATGTCCAGAAGCAGGGACTGACTTTGCCTTGCAGAACACAACGTATGGTGGCGTAGAGGTAACGTTCAATATGATTTGGTTTCGTCATGGTGATCTCACCCTTGCTCGTTAGGGATACTGGGGCTTGTTCGACTCCAAGTAAATTTACTCACTCCACGTTATCTTTGTGTAACGCTAATGTCTATTGATAGCAAAAACCTGAAAAACATCACGATCCCCCCATGCTAGCTGGTTCTTTCTCACTCGGACACATACCCTTATGCAGGACTCCATAGCCAATATAGATCACAGCCATGGCATTCTGTTCTCAGCCAGTCCTCTGTCAATCCCCGTGCTTTTCTCTGCATGCAGTGGTAGATGGACAGACGATCTTCTTTATTGAACGTTCACTTCGAAAGGACTATGTTATGTTGCATCTTTATCTGCAGTTTGTCATATAGCTTTGATTGACTTATAATTTTCGACCATGTATTTGATACCCGTAGCAACGGCTGAGTACTTAGTTCGTGCACATGGTCGGTGTTGGTTGATATGAATTTCCATGCCAGCCTTGCCCCAAGTTGTGCGGTTGAACTTTTGATTAGTACTGTTCTTTGAGCCGTGAGCCTGATATTAATATTGTGATCTTGATCATCATGCAGTAAGTACTTGTTGGACATGAAATGTTTGACTGTGCAGGCATGAACAGTGTCGAAGGCATCTCATGAATCAGTATCGAAGGCATCAATTCAATTCCAGTCCTGGCCGCACGACCCTCGGCGCTTATTCATGGGCATTTAGCGCAGTGGTAGCGCGTATGCTTTGCATACCTAGCATGTATAAGGTCCAGAGTTCAATCCTCTGAATGTCCATTTTTGCCTGAGAACTGATAGATCATCATGTCACGGTGGAACTTATAGTGTTTGAGAATCTTGTGTAATGATCAAGCGATAGGTATGAGGATCGGAAGAATACTTGACTGACAAGCGACACCCACAGATGAAACAACACAAGTATGGTGGTGCCGCGGGGATAAAAAAAGCATCCGTATGAAACATTACAATGCATTCGATCTGTGAGTATTTCAAACGGGTTGCGGTGAACGAGAACCACCAGGAACCACCCCTTTAGATAAACTCACTGGCACGAGGAACGACGGGTAGTGCCGCTTGTGATCGTGACTGATTAATGGGGGAAGACATCATGATGATAAGACATATATGCACTGAGGATTGGGTGAACGAGAACGAGAACGACCCCTTTGAGATTACTAACCGCCTAAGGAGAGGAAGACTGATGGATTTAATAATCACTGGAACAATGAAAACGTCGTACTGTTGGAATGAGAATACTTTCAAATGCTAGCATTGTCTCGATCTAGTCTGTCATACTGAGTCACAGTTTGTCCAGATCAGATTTACCTAGACCAGCGCTGAGTATCGACATAGGCTGCTTGAACACGCGGGGTTCAAAGCTGGAGCACGACCTATCTGAGCTAATCGATCGATATGCGCTGATGGAAAGGACATCATGTAAGTAAAACAACACATGTTGATACAGAGTTGAATTAAACAAACGTGTGTGCTTTGCATTTGCCTCGATGCATGTCTCATTTTCCGTTGTGTGGGTACTGACTCAAGAGACAGGAGCTAGAGTACGTGTCTTAAATAATGAGACGGGAACTAGCGATGAATAGATTTCTGTAACTGCCGTCACCACCAGTTTTGCATGAGAAAGCTGAAGTGCACGAATGAATCGTCACGAGGAGAGTAGATGAGAACATGCCCAGGACCAAGACTGATTATCATGGAGGTCCATATCGATGAACACGCTGCAGTAGATAAAGTTCGCGAAATTTATTGGTTAGTTAACCGCTAAATTATTACGTAATCACGTGACTTGCATACAGTTTTTGGGGGAGTTGACGCCTGAAACCAAAAAAATTGGGATAATCCAAATACACTGGGGAGTAACAGATATAAAGTCAACTCTGAACCCTACTCTCCTTCTTTCACTCCCCTCCCGCACGTCGTCTCCGACGTCCATCATATCCTCCAAAATGTCTGTTCAGAACGGGGACGCCGTTCACGAAAACCAATTTGCTACCCGTCCACTAGTAATATCCATCGCAAATGTTAGAGTACGCGACAGTTTTTCTATATCATCTATCCCTTGTTTAAACTGGCAGTTTTCAGATCTCCATTCCCGTCTCTACCCAAATAGACGAGTGGATCGCTGCTGAAGTCCTTAGAGATGACTTCATTTTGTCACAGCAACGCGTCGATGTCGTAGACACCGTCGTTGACCCGGAACGCCCATTACAGGCCTACGTAGATCTCTTTGCGCGCTTCCTCGCTTTCATTGCACAGAGGACTTCAGATGCATCAGACTGCACAAATGCACGCACCTCTCTGCTCACTAGCGTGTTCACACATTTCGTCTCCTCATATCTTACCGATACCGACCTCTATTCTTTCGTAAATTCGTTCGATACAGAGGTCCGCACTGGAATCCTTGCAGCTTACTTTGCTGCACGTGCTACCCTAGCAGAACCATAATGTTGCAGATATTCTCGGGCCTCCTGCTTCTGCCCTCTTCACAGCTGCTGATGACACCGAAGCATCCATATATGCGCTTTTTGGTGGCCAAGGGACCAACGAAGTCTACTTTGACGAGCTTCAGTCGCTGCACGACATTTACAAGCCTTACATTTCTCCCATAATCACATCAATCACCAATGACGTTCTGCTTCCCCTCGTAGCATCCCGTCAGGGTTGCAGCTTTTACAATTACGGCATGGATGTCGCGGCATGGCTCGCAGGCTCGTCTCCTCGTCCCCCTGTTGAATATCTCGCCTCTATTCCAGTCTCGCTTCCCTTGATTGGTCTCACTCAGCTAGTGCAATACCTTGTCACTTGTCACGTCTCCGGGTTCACTCCGGGCGAGCTCCGCGATCATTTCGCTGGTGCAACTGGCCATTCGCAGGGCGTTGTTTCTGCCATCGCTATTTCTGCATCTACATCCTTCGAATCATTTGATATCAACGCCAAGAAAGCCCTCCGATGGCTCTTCTTTTGTGGTATGCGCGGACAGGAAGCCTTCCCCGTGCTTGCCCTAGAACCAAGCATCGTTCAAGACTGCATCGATGGAGGCGAAGGCGACCCCACACCCATGCTTTCGATCACGAACCTGCCCCTCGCTTTGCTGCAGCCCCATCTCGACGCTACAAACAATCATTTACCTGCCAATGCGCAGATCGCTGTTTCGCTGTTCAATGGTCCCAGAAACTTTGTCGTGACTGGTCCTCCACGTTCCCTGTGTGGGCTTGTCACGAACTTGAGAAAAGTCCGTGCATCTTCTGGACTTGACCAGAGCAAGGTCCCTTTTTCGCAGCGCAAACTCGCCTTCGGTGTTCGATTTTTGGTGGTGAATGCCCCGTACCACAGCGCGCATTTGAAGGGCGCTTGCTGAGAAGTTGTGTGATGAAGACCTTGAAGGCGAGGAGCTTTGGACCAAGGAAGAATTAGGCATTTCAGTATTAATACGGAAGATGGTGCGCATATAGTCGCTTCACAACGCGTGTCTGGCTGATTTTATGGTTGTAGGCTCTGATATGCTTACTTCGGAGACATCCATCACGCGTTCGTTATGCGACCAGATCTTTACATCTCCCATTCACTGGACGCTCGCAACTGGTTTCCCTGACACCGCGACACACGTCATTGACTTTGGTCCCGGTGGCCTGAATGGCATTGGGCCTCTCACTGCTCGTAATCTTGAAGGTCGCGGCGTACGCGTTATCACGCTAGGCGACAAGGGCCGCGGTGAGGCAGAACTCTTTGATATTGAAGAAGTCAAGTACGAGGAGTGGTGGAGCAAGAAATATGCACCGAAGCTTGTGAAGACAAGGTACGTCGGCCAAAGACGACGAATTTCCATTCCAGATTCTGACATAACATGACAGCGATGGTACAATCCACATTGACACACCTTTCTCGCGTCTGCTCGGGAAACCTCCGATTATGGTTGCCGGTATGACACCCACAACTGTGAAAGCAGGCTTCGTCTCTGCGGTGCTCTCTGCAGGGTATCACATCGAGCTAGCGGGTGGAGGTCATTACAACCCTGCAGCGCTGCGTGCAAAAGTTGCCGAGATTCAAGCACAGATTCCTACAGGCGTCGGTCTCACGCTCAATGCCCTCTACATCAATCCCCGCCAATTCGGTTTCCAGTTCCCCCTGTGGCAGGAAATGCGCCGCGAAGGCTTGCCTATCGAAGGTTTCTGCGTTGCTGCTGGCATCCCCAGCACTGAGAAAGCAGCAGAGATCATCGATGGTCTAAGGACGGCTGGTATCAGGCACGTCTCGTTCAAGCCAGGTTCGGTGGATGGAATCAGGCAGGTCGTCAACATCGCAAAGTCCAACCCTGATTTCCCTATCATTCTTCAATGGACGGGAGGTCGTGCTGGTGGTCACCACTCCTACGAAGACTTCCATATGCCTGTGCTGAAAACATACAGCGCCATGCGTGCGCAGGAGAACTTGATACTTGTCGGCGGTTCCGGTTTTGGAGGTGCTGATGATGTGTGGCCATACCTCACTGGTGATTGGTCAAAGGACCTCTACGGCCAGCAGCTCATGCCATTCGACGGATTCCTATTCGCGTCGCGCGTGATGGTGGCTAAGGAGGCGCACACAAGCTCCAGTGTGAAGGATCTCATCGTTGGAGCGCCTGGTGTGGCCGACAAGCAATGGGAAAACACTTACACGAAGCCTACTGGCGGGATCCTGACGGTGCGCTCAGAGCTGGGTGAGCCCATCCACAAAGTCGCCACGCGTGCTGTGAAGCTCTGGAAGGAGTTTGATGATACTGTCTTCAAGCTCCCGAAGGAGAAGCGCAGCCCTTGGCTCGCTGAGCGTAAAGCGGAGATCATTGGCAAGTTGAACGCAGACTTTGCAAAGCCATGGTTTGGTTGGAAGAAGGACGGGAGCGTTGCCCTCGATCTGGGCGACATGACATACGAGGAAGTCGCTCTACGGATGGTTCGTCTGATGTATGTATCGCATCAAAGTCGGTGGATCGACTTGAGCTTGAGGAACTTGACGGGCGATTGGTTGAGGCGCGTGGAGGAGAGGTTTGCAGGTGTCAATGGAGGGTTGAAGTCCAGTGTGCTGCAGAGCTTCACTGAGCTAGACGATCCCAGCAAGTTCGTGGAGTCGTTCTTTGAAAAGTATCCTGCTTCGAAGACTCAGTTGCTCGCTGCTGAGGACCGCGCATACTTCCTCACAATCTCTCAGCGCGCAGGCCAGAAGCCGGCGCCTTTCATTCCGATTTTGGACAGTAACTTCGAGGTGTGGTTCAAGAAGGTTTGTAATGATCAACCACCTATTGCTGAGATTGTTCACTGAACTCATGGATGAATGCAGGATTCGCTTTGGGCTGCAGAGGATATTGAAGCGGTGTTCGACCAGGACCCGCAGCGTGTGTGCATTCTTCAAGGCCCCGTTGCCGTCAAGTACTCTACAGTCAAGGATGAGCCAATCAAGGATCTTCTTGGTAACATCACTTCCAGCCTCGTTGAGAAACTTCTCGAGCGATCCTATGGCGGGGACGTTTCCAAGGTACCAACTGTTGACTACCTTGCTCGTATCCCAGAGGAGGCCGACACTCCCGATGGCGTTGCCTATGAAGAAACCGCAAAGAGCGTGACGTATACTGTCGGTGAAATGATCCCGGATACGAAGGAGTGGTTGCAGGCGCTGTCCGGTTCAGAGCTGAGCTGGCTTAAGGCGTTGTTGACATCTGACACAATCGTTCAAGGCACTGCATACATCGACAATCCGCTCCAACGTGCGCTTGCGCCGAGACGTGG